TCTCAGCTATCTTAAGAAACATTCCTTTTAAGAGACGCTTTTATATCAAAAGTTGTTGCTTTTCATTCTTTTTTGTGCTTAGTTAATCTGTGAAAGAGATGTGTCTCAAAACAAAACTTGTCCAAAACTTCGATACTGTAACTTTGTGACTAGCGAAAATGAGTCCTATTTAGATAAGGGAACAGAGAGTTGAATTTGCTGTGTACATCTTCTGAATTTACTACCTGCCTCTTTATTCATACTGATTTTTTCAAAAAATACAATTTTTTGTGTTTGGGACTCCCGCGGGACTTTTTGTGGAGTCCTGCAGGACTCCTTGCGGAGTGAGTCGACACGAGTCTCAATAAAAAATACAACTTTTTGTGTACGGGCCTCCTGCGGGACTTTTTGTGGAGTCCCGTAGGATTCCCTATGGATTTTTTGAGAAAAAAACTCTCGAGGGAGTCCGGCGGGAATCCATCGGGACTCCCGCGGGACTTCTGCTGGGACTCTCGACTAGGGTAGCCTTACTCACTAAACTAAGGCTATAATTTTGCTTGGAAGTAAACATGAAATCTCAGATTCCAGACATCTCAGCTTTTCATGTCGATCAGAAATATGAAGTTTATTTCATCGCAAAATTTTATTTTTATAGTGAAAAAACTAAATTTAAAAATTTATCGGCAATACTCTTTGTGTTTCAGTTTTGAATACTAAACTATATCTAGCTTAAAATAAGACTTTTACTTCTCTTATTTATTCGGCAGCGCGATACGAAAATGTCTCTTTCAGAAAAAGTAAGTCACTATTATTATAACTTTATTATTATAGAATATTGGTTAAATCATCTTCGATTATTAGTCGGATGTTATTGTATACGGGAGTATGCATTATATCGACTAATATCATTACCATATAGGTTTAATGACGCATTCATATTAACATTAGATGTATTGAATATAAAACTAAATATGGCAACAATGACATCATGTTTTTCCAAGCAGTCAGAAGCCAACGAATCAAATTGCGTCATTCAACCATTCGATCTAAACCGAATGTTTATCACTACTATATCAATGCTCATCGTTCGATTTTAAATGGAAGTTAGGCAAAGCAATGATTATTCTCTCATCATTTTGAATGAGACTAGCAAAAAAAACACGAATTTGCGGATGTTTGATCGTAATCTATTTCAATCGAATATTATTTAGAAAGATGGAAAATTTGTCCGGAATTCATTACCTCTGAAGTTTTTTGCGAAGGAATCTATCTTGAGAAAACTATTTGAATGTTCCAACATGGTCAAAAAGAATGTTGAGAATAACTGAAAATCGTTTTTCCCACCATATTTCATCGTGCTCGCCATATGAATCGATAGCTGTTAACAAAATCTTTTCGTTAGCATTGATTTGCTGAACTGATCCACAGCTATTTGTTTGTAACCATATTTCTGTGTCAACAATTTGACCATCTTACTCGATCGATTGGCGGCAAGATGTTCTACGTACAAAAACAGAAAAATTTCGAAAATTGAAATGTTTTCTGACTTTGATACAGACCAACAACCACCAAACCCCAATCAATGTATAGCAGTGGGGCTCTATTTGATTGTAAAACATCATCATATTTCTGTAAATAAATTCGCCATACTAGTTGTTGAATATATTTTTGAATCCCTACCCGAATCAAATCTGACGTTTCCAGTGAAGAAAAAAATTGAGTCACGATTGGCGCGGGCAAGAGATCGAGTCCAGCCCAAAATGATGGTGACATGCAAATAGCAATACCAAATGTAGACGAATGAGAAAGTGCCATGTGAAAGGCTGCTAATCTTTCATGGCTTGCACCTACAATACCTCTCTGATCACACAAGATCCAATTTGAAGTCAAATACCCGCAATAACTGTACGCTTAGCTATGGGCAATGTTCGATAGTTTCTGTCGATCCATGGTTTGACATTATTGACAATATAATCATTATAATCATCAACTCCACCGTAAGCTTGTTTCCTATTTTGAGAGAATAAATATAGCCTTTTCAGTTTCGTTTACAATAAGTAATGTATCAAAAAATGTCAAATTCATGAGCGTCAAAGTAGCAGACATTAGATAAGTTCCGATTTTTAGATATAGATACCTGAAGAAAGCAAACGATTGCGCGGTGCATGATCGTGTGAGACGCGAAATTCGTGGTAGGTATGAAAATGACCACCGATGACACCTTTGTCACTTTCATCGTGAAAATGACATGTCTGACTGTCGATTGTGAAATTATGTTCCACGATCATTAGAATAGAGTCCATCTTCAATTTAACCGTCTAATGAGACTTTTAAACAAGTTTGAAACGCGTCACGGCTTTTGACTCACATCCTTACACCGTTTGTTAATGTTGTCGAAGATGTATGATTTATAAAAAGCAATCATTTATTTTAAAATTAAGATAAGTAAAAATATTCCCACGAATCCAAGATTGGTAACTGTTTATCGGTTAGTATTGTCTTTTCTAATACTTATCGTGTATCGAATTGAACTCTCAACATATATCTTGTTATTTTGAGTGATCCACCGGTATTAGTTTGAATCAAATAAAGTACTTCCCTCTTGACTGGATTCCATACATCTCTAACCATTTCAACCTGTTCTCCGTTAGTTTTCAATAATAATTTTAGACTTTGTTTTCTATAAGGAAACTTTCCATTTTGCTTTGGATCTAAATGAAACATGTATATATCGAACAGGCTTGAACCATTCTGCCATGTACAAAGAATCAATTTTGTCTTTTGAATATCATATGTCATCGTAAGAAAATAATATGCATGTGGCATAAGATGAAAAGCAGTGACAATATCTTCTTTTTTACCAACTAAATTTAAATCCATTTTAATCCAATAAGAATTAGAAGATGAATTATCAAAACGAGTTCGTACTTGTATAATCCAATTTTGATTATAATCAAATGAAGTACATCTTCCATTAATAAAAGCATATTTTCCAACATCTTGTTGTGTATATAGTTTAACAGTATCTAATGTTTCTATATTATATTCTTCAATATAATATGTAAATGCAGTATTAGTTCTTAAACCAAAAAGTCGTTTTCTTAAAGGATCGTAAAAAAGAAAACCAAAATTACCTTCATTATACACCCAACGACTTTGATGATATGTTTTTGTTTTATAATTATAAGCGACTAAAAGAAGACGTCTGAAAGCATTGCCACTAGTAACAGGCAGATAAATATAACTTAAGTTTCTATTCACAGCTGTAGGACTACCAATAAAATAGTACACACCCGAACGATCATGTACATCAAAAGTAAAATTACCGATAAAAGAAAGTCTTTTTAACTTTGTATCAAAGACAGAAAAATTACCATAGTGTGGAAAAACACTAGAACTAAAATAAGAAAAGTTTTTTGCTTATTTGGAAAATATCACTTATATTCATTTGTTTACACTTACTCCCTCCCCGTACGGTTTAATTGTATAATATTTGTCAGCATAAACAATATAGTATAAAAGCCTGAAAAATAAAACTCCAACCACCTTAATTTACCTAAAGAGTTGAATAAAAATGTAGATGAATAAAATGTGTGATATATTCTTCTTATCGAAAAATAAATAACAGTCAACATTTTATTATCAAACACCACGTAAGAATGCAAGAGCATTTCACTTTTCTTTTTGTGCGCTAATTTTCGGCTGTGTTTTTCAATTCAATATTCTCTTCTCAAATCAATTTCTCTCCTTGTGGACTGAACCAACGATCGCGTGAGTGAAGAACCTTCGAGAGATGGGTAAAGCAGAGAAACTCTCTCCTTCACCTACCTATCCGAAAAGTGGATCGAAAAGAACCAAGGTGATCCTCGAGGCTGTCAGATGAACTGATGAAAATGCCATCAGACAGCTCGCTAGAGAGAATGCTGCAATGAAGATGGACGAAACCATTGCCACTGACAGAGAGACGAGTGAGACTGATGAAAAATGGCAGACGGTCAACAACCAACGATCAAACAAAATCCAAAAAACCAATGCATGCATTAACGACAATCATGAGTTTCTTTGGTCAGACGGTCCTTCAGACTTTGAAAATTGATGGAGTTCATTCACACTTCTCCTTCGGAGATAATAACGCACGAACTATACCAACCTCTCCGCAACATGGCCTTGAGAAATCGTCTCCAGGTGGATCATCGCCACATACTGAAGGAAGAAGAGGGAAACCGAATCTACCACCGTTCAAATTGGAATTCGAAGATCGACAGAAACCAATGGAAATTAAACTGCTCAATGATCTTGTGAAATACGATGATCGATCGAACGTGAATGCTGCCTCCTATTCAACTCGTCCGCAATCGCCACACATTCTACTGGTCTTTGCGAACAATTCTTCGATCTATGAAATGTTATTCGAGAGCAAGCTCATGGCCGACTTCGATATGTGAATTGCCATTCAAAGCCACTCTTCCGAGTCGAATTCCAACGTCCTATTCTATTCTGGTAAACCGTGTTCCTCGTGGATGGCATGTCGATTCGATGAGACCGTTGATCGCTCAACGATATCTGTCGACTGTTCAAGTGGCAAGAATATTTCGCGATGGACAGCCGATCAAGGGGATCCGTGTTGATTTTCGATCGAATGAAGATGTTCAGAAGATTTTCCACTGTTCTCACATATCTATCGATAGCATACGATATCGTGCCGTGGCTTACAAACCGCTGGCTCGAATCGATCGATGCTTTCGCTGTCAGCAGTTCGGTCACAAAGCAATCAATTGTTCCAACGAATCTGAATGCTACAAGTGCGGAGAACAGCATGACTACAATCGAGAATGTGCGAATGCTGTCAAATGTGCCAGTTGTGATGGTTGGCTCACCTGAATGCCCAATGAAGATTTCCGAGAGAAAAGACAACAACAAGAAGAGAGGAGAGAAGCTAACCAACAACAGTCACTCTCTTACCTCTCTTCTCCTGCTCGACTGTATTCGACTGTCCTTCAATCGATGGTTCCTCATGTGCATGCAGCCACGAAGACGAGCAACATGAAGTCAAGTCATCCGACCGGCGAAATCCAGCAATCCACGATCATCATCGATACGCTCAAGGAAGAAATTGGGCGATCTCAAGAAGTTCTCCTCCATCAAATCACGCAACTCGAGGAAAAATGCGATGCAGTTCATGAACAACAAGCTGCATTGAGGTGGACGATTGAATCTCAAATCGTTCCCTACGTATCGACAATGTCAGAGTTGCTCGTTGAAGTTTGCAAGCAATTGGCTACAGTGAAATTCATCAAATTGACCAATCAACAGCAAATCAAAATTCCACGTCTTCGCCATCCGCCAACCACGTATCACTCACCACTTTCTCCTTCGCTTCTCTCAAGCGGTTTCTCCTTTGCACATTTGAAAAAGGCTCACCAACAGTCATCTTCTCTCGCCTCTTCTCAATGAACATCGATGCGAAAGAGTTCTTTCCTTCGAATGAAACCGGAATACGATCAACAACTATTGACGAAGAAGATCACTTGTTTACATCATTGAAGACAACCCATCAGCTTGCGACGGCTAGATCAATTCTTTACGAATGGAACAGGGTAAGCACGCTCTCAGCTCTCACTCGCGAATGGTCTAGCCGGCACGAAAATCAACCATTCGAACGAAACAGTTTCTCACTCTTGCTCTACAACATCAGCAGCCTAAGATTGCATCTCAAAGATCTGATCGACTACGTTTCTGAGTCCTCTCTAAGCATCTGGGCACTCACTGGGCTGCACTTCAACGATGAGGTCAACTATCAACTTGCTTCGTACTTCAAGACTCGGTACACCATCTACTATCAACATGGTTCACAAAATTTCGGTGGTGTTTGTCTGGCTATCGCTCGAGAAGTTCCTCACCGACTCGTTTCCGAGTTCCATGATGTCAATAACCTCATCGCTGCCAATGTATTCAACTCGAATAAAAAATTCACAGTGGCTGTTGTCTATTCTCCACCCTCGGACGAAGTCCCGATTGATGTTCTCACTCGATTTCATCAGCACAATCGAAATTTAATACTGATCGGAGATCTGAATTCGAGGCATCCCAATTGGCACGATGTGAGCAGCAATTTGGGTGGTCATCGACTTGCCTAGTGGATTGATGAAAAGCAAAATTTGAAAATCTTCAATTCTCCACAGCCGACATCAACTCGACCGCAAGCTGTTATCGATCTCATTATCGCGCCTTATCATGTCTCATTAGAATTATCTGAGACTGACCAGAGAATGACCGTGACCAACCATTATCCAGTGCATTAGCAGATTTCCTCCTTTAGTCAGAGCAGAACCATTCAGGAAGTGAAGAGAATGGATTGGTCTATACTGCAATGTATACTCGATCTCAAACAGAACTTTTTCTTCTCCCTTACTGAGCAAATGAGTCATGAATCAATCGAAGTCCTTCTCACGTACGAAAAGTTTTTTGTGACTCTACAAGAACGATGCAGTTCCTATCACATCATCCAATTCTGTTGACCAAGTCTACCTATTACTTGGTGAATCTCATTTAGCATAGGCGTAGAACTCTTTCTTCCTATCGATGCCCACGCTCGATGAATACTTACATACATTGAGAATCCAACGCAGTCAAGAGAGCTCAATGGCAAGAATTCTGCTTGGGACTTGAACCGAAGAACACGCACCGCTTTTGGAATCATTGCAAAAACCTCTTCAAAAAGCGAGCACCAGGGATCCAAGGATTTCGACATGACACAACTGGTCGAGTCTTGACTGATCCGAATTTCATGACCGAGCATGCTCACCGATACTATACAAAAGCTTTCAAAGAGAGCGAAACATCCTCTCAAAATCAAGATGCGACCGAGTTCAAACGAACATTGTCTGAGAGACTGACAGAGCTCCTCTTGCAGCCCTTCTTGTTCAAAATCGCTGATCTTCATCGATCTATCCATCGACCAAAGACCAAAACATCGATTGGCCATGAAAAAGTATCGAACAAGCTGCTCAAGTCGATTCCTCTCTCTCACTATGGATTTCTTCTACAAACATTCAATGATCTACTCATCAAAAACACTTATCCAGAGCATTGGAAGCTGTCGAAGACGATTCTGCTTCCAAAAGAAAAATCATCACTCATTTCTCTGAATCAAACTCGGCCAGTCTCTTTCTCTCTCTTGCCTTGTCTCGGCAAAGTTTACAAGCGATGTTTTCTCGTCTATCTTATTCAGTGGATGAAGAAGAATGGCATCCTCCCACCAAAACCATCAGACCTTCTGGAGAAACATTCCACAGCAACACGATTTGTGCAATTTCTCCAGCACATAAGCTCCGGTCTTCTTCAACAAACAGCGACACTGATCATCTACGTTGATTTCATCAAGGCTTTTGATCAACTATGGCATGACGGTCTCCTCTACAAGCTGCACCAAATGAATTGTCCGTATGAACTAGTCATCTTCATCGTCGAATAGCTGAAAAACCGAAAAAGCGACATCGAAATGAATCGACTCGTTTCAAGCATTTTCGACATCGAAAAGGAGTCCCCCAAGGATCTTGTCTAGGACCGATTCTCTTTCTACTTTTTCACTGTGAGCTGCCTCTCCCTGGTGGTGTCGATCTGAGTTTGCGTCGCAAATGCAACGTCTCGGTGAGAAAGCATTGAAACAAATTCAATCTTATGCCACTGAGTGGAAGCAGCCCATCAACTTCGCAAAAACAGAGTGGCAGTGGATACATCGACGCGTGTGTCCGCCATCTCTCGATCTCGTCGTTGATGGAAATCGAATAAAGAGAACTTCTCTCTTCAAATACCTGGGCAACTATGTCGATGAACGATTCTCTCTCAGTCAACATTGCAACAAAATGCTTCAGAAAATACAAAACAATGCTGGCTTGCTTAAATATGTCGCTCGGTCGCGAACATCATCGGCGAAAGCGGGAAACCTGATCTTTCAAGCTTTCATTCAACCTTATTTTCGAATGATCTATGCGGTATGGCCGTTACTGTCCCATCGAAAAAATCGAAGCGAAGAATCGACAAATCCATCGACTTCTTCAGAACTGGTCAGACGCAACCAACGACGAAGTACGGCGGAAACAAAGGCACAACGTTTCCTGCGCTACTCCATCGACAAAGCGATCGCAACGTCTCCAGAACTATTTGATGACTACATCCGCAGTAAAGCCATGCCGATGTACTTGCACAGTGTACTCCATGTTGCAGGACCGTCTTTCATCGATGCCCTCCCCCGTGGTAGATTCAACAAATATGTATATGACTGGATGAAATCGATTCGTGACGACCAAAGACAGTGTTACTTGGATCGATTATCATCACTACTCAAAAAGGAACGGTCGGGAACAAACTAGTCATCCCTACTCAGATAAGATTAGAAATCGGGATCTTTTGTCTAGTTTCTGGAAATCTTGCCTTTTCGGTCAATAAAGCACTCCCTCACTCACCCGAATACCACTCACATCCTCGGTGTCTGATGAAGGTTATTTCTTCAATGAAGAATATCTGCTCTATTAAACACTGAGGACGCTTGTTCTCTCTGATTCATCTTAGGATATCCACTCGGATAAACACCGAGAATAGCATGTCTGTTCTCTGTTTTCCGTAGACTGATAATTAGGGTCTGTCAGAGGAGAAGTAATTTGTTTTTCTGTTCTGGCTACAACAAGTTTTCAAATCTACCATCAGTTTGATCTTTGAGAATTTTCTTTTGCTTTTTTTCTGTGGTTCCTGACAGTTTCTTGACGGCGACGATTATTTAGGTATTTTGCCTAGTCTGAGAAGTGAGCGTCTAGAAATGCTCTGATTGACTCATGCTATCTGTATTTCTACACACTAATCTATCCATTCCAGGATTTTTTCAATTAGCTGTTGTCTGCGAGAGTGAAATTGAGATGCACCTCATAGAAACTACTCTTTTCTTCCATATCTGTAGCGGACGTTTCAATCTCGAAATTATTGGAAAGAAGACTCCAATAATCGTTGTCAAGATTTTAATCGCACTTTTCCAGTACATACGACTGACACTCTTAGATTCAATGAAAATCATGTGCCATCAGTTTCGTATCTCGGATTCTTCAAGAAAATAGGGAATTGAGATGGGAAACACGACAGGGCCATTATACCTGAGGAATGGCGGTTCTAG